TCCTTCCTTCCTTCCTTCCTTCCTTCCCTCCTTCCCTCCTTCCCTCCTTCCCTCCTTCCTTCCTTCCTTCCTTCCTTCCTTCCTTCCTTCCTTCCTTCCTTCCTTCCTTCCTTCCTTCCTTCCTTCCTTCCTTCCTTCCCTCCTTCCCTCCTTCCTTCCTTCCTTCCTTCCTTCCTTCCTTCCTTTCTTTCTTTCTTTCTTTCTTTCTTTCTTTCGAGAGGCAGAGAGAAGATGGGGAAAGGTAGCGGGAGAGAGAGAATCTCAAGCAGGCGCCATGCCAGGCATGAAGCCTGATATGGGGCTCAATCCTACAACCCTGAGATCATGACCAGAGCTGAAATCAAGAGTCGGAAGCTTAACCGACTGAGCCACCCAGGTGCCCCACAGCATGGATGTTTTTTAAGAATATAAGGCCCCCCTCTTTTCTGTAATAGACCGCTCCCCGTTTTGGGTTTGTCTCACGTCTCCTCGTAAGGAGATGGGGGGTTATGCCTTTTTGGCAGGACCCTGCACAGACAGGGACCCTGGGCCTGGTTCCAGTGGCCCCACCGTGGCGCCAGGCCCAGCGCCCCTTGCGGGGGATGTTAGTATCGCTCACCTGGCTCAGGTGCTGCCTGCTTCCTCTGCTTTCATCCCTGTTCCTGAGAAGCAGACTGGGGGTGGGCAGTTCTGGAAGCAGCAAACACCCTGCGGCTCGTGGACATTTCCCCCCTAGACAGCCTCACTGGAGATTCTTGCCTGGACTCATCTTTACTCTGGTGGCTGCTAGATGAGGAGCCCCCATCTCCAGTGACCGCTCCGGTCCACCTGTTGGCCCTCAACATCCTGCCCATGAGGGGGAGCCTTTAATCCCCCCAGCTCGTGCATCTGTTGTTGGCTCAGGCGCGTGGGTTCCCATTTCCAATGGTGTGTAACATATTACTGTCCTGAATGGGTTTGCACAGATTGTCTCAGATTTGGCCAGGGGGAGCCCCTTGAATCTCCTCTGTGTCCTGTGGCACGGCCCCTCATTTTCTGAGCACAGACTCCCTTGCTGGTATTGCAAGAGTTCCCGGGATTGTCCCGTCCCCACCCTGCCCCAGCTCTGGGCTCAGCCATTTCCCTGAAGGGCCCTGGATTCTTGCAGAGACCAAGATCGGGGCGCTAAGGGTGCTCACTGCTCCTGGGATCTCTTTGCTCCTTGGCCCTTTCAGCAGACAAAACTAGGAAACGTGCACGTAAATATACACGTACACAGACACGTACGGATATGCATATGCACTTATGCATGCAAGAATGCATGTCCACAGACATACTTGTATTTTAGAAACTGTGAGGTCACACCCACACCTCTAATTCCGGTCAATCCTCAGGGCGTGTCCTCGCCTCCCCCATTCCATCCTCGGGTGCCCCTTCTTCTGCGGTGAGAATCCTCCCACGCACACCAGCGCTCACTTGCTCAATCCTATAGGGCACGGAAAATACTTTCACAATAGCTGCGCCCGGTGAACAAAGCTGCTGAGCAGAGCTGAGGGTTTGCAGGTCATGAGCTGCTGTGGCTGCCCGGCTCTCAGTTCCTCTCCCTCCCATCACTGTGGCTACAGTGTTTGAAATATAATTAGGTTCATTTGCTTAGGTTTATTTTCAGTTTTAGGGCCCCCGCCATTCAGATCTCAATGATTTAATTTTACTTTTTGAATATATGGAGTGTAACACATCTAACCGGGGTGACCCATAGCAGGAACTGTGTAATTGCTTATGGAAAATTTGCTATGGAAATGTTGGGAGGGAAAAAGTCCAAGTGGAAAGGTTCTTCCTTCTCCTCTTGACCTCAGAGTGAATGCTAACTCCACCCTGACATCCGGACTTCCTGGGTTGCCTCTTAGGGAAGGCCCCCCACCCCGGGGCATCACACCTGCCTGGGGTGCGGTCCCAGGTCTGAGTTTCTCTTGGGGCACTATCCTGCAGGGTGGAGGCCACCAGGACCTGGCCAGGTAGCTTCCAGAGGACCACAGCCCTGGACATGCAACCCGCTGGGGCGGGGAGGCACATATTTGCATGCGGATTGCAAGTGCGTCTGCATAGACCAGGCATCTCTGCTCCCCATCTGACTTGATTTCCTCTTTCTTCTCACTTACTGATTTTCACGAATCCCGATTCCCTTTATGCAATGTATTTAGCAGATTATGGAAAGGCAGGGAAGCCAGGGTGCGTGCTGAAGGACTAGCTCACTGGCCACTCACCACCCACCAGCTGCTGGGGTCCCGGAGTTTCGAGAGAGGGTCCGAGACCTGATTTCCCGGGCTCCTTTCTCTGTTCCCTGGGCCCCACCCCATAGATTTAATGGCTCGCCTCATCTAAAAAATAAAGCTCCAAATGCCTTTCTCCTCCCCAGGAACTGGAACTATTTACTAGGTAGAACTCTTTAATGGATTTTGAAATCTCGGGGGAGGGGCCCCTCTAAGGATGAAAAGCGTCCTTCTGGAGGAGAAAGGTGAGGGACGCAGGGGCCCCTGGGCTAGTGGAGAACCAGCCCTGACTCGGCCCTTCCTCTCGGCCTCCTCCTGGCAGCTGTACCTGATGAAGCAAGAGATGCAGCGCCACAGGATGTCTTCCTCCTGTGAGCGGGAACTGCGCGAGCGGTCCCTGCAGATGACCGGCGGCCTGGAGCCCGGGGACAAGGAGCTGAGCCGCCTGAAGGAAGAGAATGAGAAACTCCGGTCGCTGACCTTCAGCCTGGTGGGTTCGGCTCCCGTCCCCAGCAGCTGCCTGGGGCTCCCGCAGGCTGGGCCGGGGGGTGGGGTGGGGGGGGAGGTGGTTCTCACAGGTGGTCCGCCGAGGGGTGGCTGAGGACAGGGAGGCCATCCAGGGACACCCTACAGTTCCCTTCCTGCTCCTCGCCGGCCCCCAACGTGGCAGGATGGACAGCTATTGGACGTGCCGAGCAAGGCCCCCCTCAGCTCAGCAGCTGCTGCGGTGCTGATTTAGCGGGAATTCGGCTGATTATAAATGACGGGATTCAAGGTTGGTGGTGGGGGGGCGAATTTTCTGCCTGCAGAATATTCTGCCATCCCGCCCAGGCGCACTCTGGAAGGAAGCCGCAGAACGGGTGATGCCAGCTTCTGGAATTATGCAAACTTCTGCCCCTCCTCGTCGATTCCTTTCAGTCAATAAAATGTCTATTTATAGAGCTGTTCCTCCCAATGAGTAGACATTCCCTGGGTGCAGGGCGGGCTGCCGCGGCCGGTCTCCCGCCTGGATGGTTCCGAAGCCCCTTCCTGAGCAGTGGGCCAGAGAGGGAATGGCCTGTCCCTTGGTGTGTCCTCCGCGGAGACTGTGCTGGTGGGTTTGTGGACAGAGCGGCCTGACCCGGCCCACAAGGGGGGATGGCCACCCCGAGAGACTTTCAGTTTCCTTTACTTTCTGGCCTCAAGCCCAGAGAAATAGAAGCGAAATGCACATTTCCCATTTTGATTGTTGACCCTGCCTCTTCTCCTGCCTAGTGTGCAGGGATAAGCTTGAATCCATCCGGATTCACGCCCGGCCCCGAAATTTCCTGCTGCCTGTTCTCGGGGCAGAACGACGGGGCACTTCCCAGGGGCAGGCCTTTCAGGAGGTCGGGGTCCCCGGGCTGACCTCTCTTTGCCCCAGGCGGAGAAGGACATCCTGGAGCAGAACCTGGACGAGGCCCTGGAGAGCAAGCAGGAGCTGGTGGACCGCATCCACTCTCTGAGGGAGCGGGCTGTGGCCGCCGAGAGGCAGCGCAAGCAGGTGACCCCGGCAGGGCAGCACGGGCGGGGAAGACAGGCTCTCACAAATGCTCATCCCCCGGGGGAGCTTGATGGAGCACGGACTCACAGCCCACGGCTAGCGGTCCCGTCTGGTTTGTGGGTGGTCAGAAAAGGACCAGACACACGAGCAACAAAACTCCGGGTGCTTTCCGGTGAGGGGGGTGGTGGTGGTGAGGTTTATTTAGTCGCTACGACAGGCAATGGGAGGATTGGGAGGAAGGGGGCAGGGGGAGAATGAAGCAGCGTGGAGGGAGATTATTTACGTCTCTTGGGACATGGAATGAACAAAACGTGGTTATACCTGCAACATCCACGTGTGTTCTGATAACTGAAAGCAAATATAATCAGCATAGCAACTCCGCAGACACACCTTGAAATTTAGCACTTAAGAAATGAGCAGGAGGTCACCGGTCTCACCTCCCGAACCAACCCCTCTGTCCCCGAGGCCCCCCCTGCCCCGCCCCATCCTCCGCCGACCCCCAGCACCGCTGGCCTGCGCGGGCTATGTTTGTCCCCGGCCAGTACTGGGAAGAGAAGGAGCAGACCCTGCTCCAGTTCCAGAGGACAAAGGTAGACTGTGACCTCTACAAGGAGAAGGTGAACGCCCTGCAGAGCGAACTGCTGCAGCTACAGAAGGAGCGCGACCAGGTACCTTGGCGGGGAAGGGCCCCAGGGCCCGGGCTGGGCGGTGGCAGAATGTGTCGCCTGGCCGAGGCTCCTCGAGAAGCCTTTGGGGTTTGACCCTGGGCTGGCTGGGGTCACGCGGCTCCCTGCGCCCCCCCCCCCCATGGCAGCTGGTTCCAGATTCCCGTCTCTCTCTCCCCCTGCTGTCCCCTACTGACACGCTCCCCCTGTGCCATCCTCCCTCCTTTCCTGTCTGGCTCCCAGGCCTACTCCGCCCGGGACGCAGCCCAGATGGAGATTTCTCAGAAGCTGACAGAGAAGGATGCCCTCCGCAGGAAAGTGTTTGAGCTGACAGACCAGGTCTGTGAACTGCGCCAACAGCTCCGCAGGCCAAAGGCCGAGTCCCTGCAGGGGGTGAGTGCTTCCCTCCCACCCCGCAGGGAGGCTGGCGGCTGTGTGCGCGCGTGGGGCGGGTCCCAGGCCATGTGCCGCCCTGCTGGGACACCGGATTCAGCCATATCTGCCGCACGCTGGCTCGCGTGGGTGAACCTTGTTGCCAAATCACTGAAGTCAAGTTGAGCCTATGTCTGTATCTTCTTTGATGGTAATCGTATGCAAGTCATGGAAGAGGTAGCCGGGTGGAAGGTTCTGGCACCTGTAGCGTATGGTGTTCGATGAAGAAAGAAAGCATATGAAATTGGGCCAGGCAGCCACCCGCTTTTGTAGATGATGCATTCCTGAGATGTTTGCAAGTCCGATGTCCAAGAGCCGACTTCCATGCATGAAGGGAACTATGTTCCCAAAGAGCTAAAATGATTACAGAACCTCCGATTATGGTCTGTCAGCCTCTCCAGCTCCAGGCACCCGGCGGGTGGGTGAGACCCTTAGGCCTAGGCAGACCCTCTTCTTCCTAGGCGGAGCCCCCAGCCCTTCCTCCTTCAACCTCCTCACATCTACCATGTTCCAAAAATATATATATACGTATTAGAAAAAGGTAGACCGCAAGATGCCAACTGTCCTGTCCCTGAGTGTGGAGGATGGGAGAATTTTGCTTTCTTCCCTCTAGTCAGTTCTGTTTGCCCCCAGTATTCTATACGGAGTTAGGAATATGATACATGTGGTATGTGTCACTCGTGTCACCGGTAAGGAACAACATATAATCTCTAAAAGAGATGAAATAGCATTCACCAGGCTGGTTACTTTCTGTCTCCTCGGGGGTCGGCTCCTGCGGTGCTGGGGGTCCCATGCTCCGAGGAGGGGACATGATGAGGGGAGGTTGCCCGGAGGGTGGAGGCGGGAGGTGGAGACAGGAGGGAGGGGACTTGCTGGAAACCCCCAAGAGCATCCAAGAGGAAACGTGCCTGAACTGAGCAGCCCGGGGCCCGTCTTTGGCAGCCTAAGCAGGAAGCCGGCGCCAGGGAGCCCTGTGCGAAGGGAAAGCAGCCGCTGGTGCGCATGTTCGCCCTCTGCCCGCGGGATGACAGTGACTCCAGCTGCCCCGGCCCCCCTGAGGTACGGCGGGGGCCTCCTCCCCTCCCGGGCCAAGCCGGTGCACCCTCACCTGGCGGGACAGACGGGGCCTGGTGCACGCAGGTGCTGGAGACGTCCTCGTGACGTGGATGCAGGCCTGTGTTCAGATCCGTGCAGCACACCCGCCCCGCTGCGCACGTGACCCTCACCAGCCGGGCCCTGGGCCTCTCTGGGCCTCCGTGGCTTCGTATGTGAAGTGGGACCATACTACCCACCGTGTAGATTTATCCGGCCGCACTGAGCGACGTGAGATATGGAAAGCAGCTAGTAGTGTTCCTGGCACACAGTAGGCGCTCAGCTAGCGTGACCTGCCTCTGTGCTATGTCCTTCTCACCGGCTCTGCCCCGACAGTTGGGGACCATGGTTTATTATGGTTTTTCCCCTCATGCCGTGGAGCAGTGGGGAGGTGTCGAGTGGGGTCCCGTGGGAGCCTGCGCCCACCTCTGCCCTGTCCCCCTCCAGTCTCAGCTCTGCTCTGACCTGAACGCCACATCCAACCGTGAGCTGGTGGACAGCTTCCGCTCCAGCAGCCCCGTGCCTCCCAGTCCACAGTCCCTGTATAAGCGGGCCACAGAGGACTTCCGGGAAGACCCCTGGTCTCTCGGGTAACGACTGGCAATGGGGTTCAGGTGGCGCGGGCCCTGGCAGCTCACTGGGACATGGGCTGAGGGCGGCGCAGGTGCAGGGGCTCTGGGTCTGAGCAGGAAGCAAGTGAGGCAGCCCGAGCGGTCTTCCTCCCATGCTTTCCAGTGGCTTCCCAGAAATCCTGCAGGTGAACCGGGGACCCTCCCCGGGGGTGAAGGCAGGTGACGCAGACCTGGATTATGAGACTGTAGACAGGGCAGGTGAGTGCACCCCACCTGGGCCTCTGCAGCCACCCCCCTCCCCTGAGCTGGGCTGGCTGAGCAGGAGGAGAAGTGAGGACAGGGGTCTTCAGGGAGGCAGATGAGACAACCCAGTACCTCTCCAGGGCTTGGGCTGAGGAGGCGAGCTTCACCGCTGCCCCGCCCCGGGCCTCTGGGGCATCCCGACTACCTGGTCCTTCAAGCCCATGCCCTGTTTACTGGGCGTCCTTTCTGTCTCTCACCTTGGAGCCAAGGGAGTTGTGTTCATCTTCCCGTCCAGCTCAGCATTACTGCTCAGATAGCTCCGGACACACGTGTTCTCTCTAACCCTCCCTGGTCTGATGGTGACATCAGAAGGCGGCAGGCTTTAGTCCCCCGCCCCTGGAAAAAGCACCTGCTGGGAACATCTCTCCTCCCGGGTGTGGCACGTGAGACCTTCCCACATCTCCTGTGGCTTATTCCTCATGTTTGTGACTTGGCTTGCCTCCTCTCCTTCTCAACCATGGGCCCCACACAAACAGCCTCCTCACCTTTTCCACCCTGCACACCTGTCTCCAGCCGTGAGCCTCGCGCGCAGCGGGTGCTTAGCACCCCGTCTGGAATTCACCCCAGTGGCCACCAGGGGGCGCACAAACCTTGAGCTGTTCAGAACATTCACCCCTTTAGAGCAGGTGGGGTCCGAGGCTCCTAGTGGGTCACTTGACTAGAAACCTTGCTCCCTGCGAGATGGGGTTAACCGAGAGGGTCCCCCCAGGGCATATCCATCCTGGATGTGATGCTCTTTGTTTCCTTTTTTTTTTTTTTTTTAAAGATTTTATTTATTTGACAGAGAGAGACACAGCGAGAGAGGGAACACAGGCAGGGGGAGTCGGAGAGGGAGAAGCAGGCTTCCCGCTGAGCAGGGAGCCCGACGCGGGGCTCGATCCCAGGACCCCGGGACCACAACCCGAGCCGAAGGCAGACGCCTAACGACTGAGCCACCCAGGCGCCCCACTTTGTTTCCTTCTGCCACAATTCTGTATAACGTCCTAGTTTCCTACACTTTTAGTGGAATTGACCTCAAGTACATCAGGAATATACTATTATCATTTGACTCTGAATGTAATCATGAACGGAGTTTTGTCTGTGAGCTCGGCAAAAATAGCAGGCAACCGTTGACCCAGGCAGAAATGCGGCCCAGGGTTATGCCACATTTGATTATTTTAAGTTTTTATTTTAATCACCCAGTGCTCATCACAACAAGTGTACTCCTTAATCCCCATCACCTGTTTCACCCACCCACCCCCACCTAGATTTGATTTTGAATGAAGCCAGACATCCAAACTCCAGCTGCCCTATCCTGTAAAATGTTGGCAAGTCGTTCAACTATCATGTGAGGACACACTATAGGTCAGACCCCACTCCTGTTTTGGGGAAGATGACCTCAAGTTTCTAAGTAGTGAGGAAGGGAAGAGGCAGGGAGTTTCAGCCTCAGCAGGAGGTGCTGCCCAAGGCTGGGGTGGGGGGACGAGTTTGCCCGAGTAAGCAAAGTTCCGTCGGGAGGGGTGAGCCCCGGGGGCTGGCCTGGCCTGTGGCTGAGCCCTCCACTTCCGTTCAGACGTTCCTGAGTGTGAGAGCAGCCTGCAGCCGTGCACCGGGGGCCTCACCCTCTCATCCAGGTGAGCAGTGGGAGGGGCCGGGGCCAGCAGGTGGCAGGACAGAGTGAGGGCTGTGTCCCATCACTATTGGGAGGTGACAGCCCCCCTGAGGATGAAGTCATGGTTAGGGTGTGTGTGTGTGTGTGTGTGTGTGTGTGTGTGTGAATTCCAGAATGCTGGGGACAGCGGGATCAGGGCCTGGCCTGACCTCCTGCTCTGGTGGCTCGTGGGCTCTGTCACCTCCCCTCCTGCAGCAGCGTCCCAGTGAGGAGGAGGCTGGCCCGCAAGATCCTGAGCCAGGTCACCGTGCTGGCCTTCCAGGGGGATGCGTTGCTGGAGCAGATCAGCATCATTGGTGGCAACCTCACGGGCATCTTCATTCACCGGGTCACCCCTGGCTCGGCGGCGGACGAGATGGCCTTGCGCCCGGGCACCCAGATCATGATGGTGAGTGTGGCCCCCGCCCCACAAGCCCCCGCCCCGGGACCTGCTCCGGGTGGGGTCCGACTTGACAAGGGCGTGTTGTCAGGATAGCCCAGGCTCCCTCTCGGGCTGAGGTTAGACTCACTTAAAGGCTACGTTCCAGTTGACTCCCATGGGAGCCCTGCCCCATCTGGATCCCTGACGTTCGTGAACTCAGGTGGGTGAGCCCGCAAGCTCAGGAGAGGACCACCTGCCATCCGAGAAGGCTTCTGGCTGCAGCGGTGCTGACCCGGGACGTTTGGATAAAGGCCATAGCCCTGTTCTTTCACTGTGCTGATCACATTGTGTGTATGTAGTAAAACACACAGCCATCACATACAATTCACCATCTCGTTGGGGGCATCTTTAAAACCTTTTTTATTGCAAAATATTCGTTAAACTGCAAAACCCATAAATATACCACTTGACTAATTATTATCAAGTGAATATGTGGGCGGGGAGGTGACTTTGATGTGGCCTGGAAGCAGAAAACAGTCACCCTGTTCCTGAGGCTGGTTCCCCCAGGAGGAGCCTGGGGTGAGCTTGGGGTGAGGTGGGGGCAGGTTATGGCAGAGGCGAGGGCTGAGAAGCATGGGCAGGCACCGCCTTTGCTCCGGAGCCCTGGGCCCGCCGGCTCCTCCCTCACCATTAACAGGCTACGTTGTGGTTAAAGCAACTTTTATGATGTTTGGGGAGACAGTCCTGATATCTTAATGTATTTTATTATTATTTATTTACTTTTGAGTTTTTAATTCCCGTTAGTCAACCTACAGTGTTATGTTAGTCTCAAGTGTACAATATAGTAACTCAACACTTCGGTAATCACCCGCTGCTCTTCCCAACTCCTGAATCCCCCTCACCTGTTTCCCCCATCTCCCCACCGCCTCCCCTCTGTAACCATCAGTGTGTTCTCTAGAGTGAAGAGTTGGTTTGTCTCTCTTTTTTCCCCTTTGCTCATTTCTTTTGTTTCTTAAATTCTACATATGAGTGAGATCATATGATAATTGTCTTTCTCTGACTTACTTATTTCACTCAGCATAATACCTTCCAGTTGCATCCATGTCGTTGCAAATGGCAAGATTTCATTCTTTTTGATGACTGAGTAATATCCCATTGTGTGTATATACCGCAGCTTCTTTTTTTTTTTCCTAAGATTTTATTTATTTATTTGACAGAGAGAGAGCGAGAGAGGGAACACAGCAGGGGGGAGTGGGAGAGGGAGAAGCAGGCCTCTGCTTCTAACCACACCCTAACCATGACTTCATCCTCAGGGGGGCTGTCACCTCCCAATAGTGATGGGACACAGCCCTCACTCTGTCCTGCCACCTGCTGGCCCCGGCCCCTCCCACTGCTCACCTGGATGAGAGGGTGAGGCCCCCGGTGCACGGCTGCAGGCTGCTCTCACACTCAGGAACGTCTGAACGGAAGTGGAGGGCTCAGCCACAGGCCAGGCCAGCCCCCGGGGCTCACCCCTCCCGACGGAACTTTGCTTACTCGGGCAAACTCGTCCCCCCACCCCAGCCTTGGGCAGCACCCCCTGCTGGTCTGTCTCCTGCTGAGGCTACCCGCGGAGCAGGTAGCCCGACGCAGGGCTCGATCCCAGGACCCTGGGATCATGACCTGAGCCGGAGGCAGACGCCTAACGACTGAGCCACCCAGGCACCCCCAACCACAGCTTCTTTATCCATTCATCCGTCGATGGACATCTGGGCTCCTTCCATAGTTTGGCTACTGTGGACATTGCTGCTATGAACATTGGGGTGCAGGTGCCCCTTCAAATAAGTATGTTTGTATCCTTTGGGTAAATATCCAGTAGTGCAATTGCTGGATCATGGGGTAGCTCCATTTTTAACTTTTTGAGGAACCTCCATACTGTTTTCCAGAGTGGCTGCACCAGCTTGCATTCCCACCAACAGTGTGGGAGGGTTCCCCTTTCTCCACAGCCTCTCCGACATGTGTTGTTTCTTGCGTTGTTGATTTTAGCTATTCTGACAGGGGTGAGGCCATATCTCATTGTGGTTTTCATTTGCATTTCCCTGAGGATGAGTGATGTTGAGCATCTTTTCATGTGTCTGTTGGCCATCTGGATGTCTTCTGTGGAGAAATATCTACTCATGTCTTCTGCCCATTTTTTTTTTCTTCTGCCTATTTTTAACTGGATTATTTGTTTTTTGGGTGTTGAGTTTTATAAGTTCTTTATATATTTTGGATACTAACCCTTTATTGGATATGTCATTTGCAAATATCTTCTCTCATTCCATAGGTTGGCTTTTAGTTTTGTTGATTGTTTCTTTCACTGTGCAGAAGCTTTTTATTTTTATGTCTTTTGAGTCCCTCGTCTCTGGCTACGCGTCTAGTAAGTTGCTGGGGCCGAGGTCAAAGAAGTTACTGCCTGTGTTCTCCTCTAGGATTTTTATGGTCTCAGGTCTCACATTTAGGTCTTTCATCCACTTTGAATTTGTTTTTCTGTATGGTGTAAGAAACTGGTCCGGTTTCATTCTTTTGCACATAGCAAAAAGCTCCCCAATTTTCCCAACGCCATTTATGGAAGAGACTGTCTTTTTTTCATTGGATATTCTTTCCTGCTTTGTCGAAGATTAGTTGACCATAGGGTTGAGGGTCCATTTCTGGGCTCTCTCTTCTGTTGCATTGATCTATGTGTCTGTTTTTGTGCCAGTACCATAGTGTCTCGATGACCACAGCTTTGTAATAAAACTCGAAGTCTGGAATTGTGATGCCTCCAGCTTTGCTTTTCTTTTTCAAGTTTGCTTTGACTATTTGTCTTTTGTTTTATATAAATTTTAGGATTGTTTGTTCTAGTTCTGTGAAAAATGCTGGTGGTATTTTGAATGGGGATTGCATTAAATGTGTAGTTTGCTCTGGATAGTAGAGACATTTTAACAATATTTGTTCTTCCAACCCATGCGCTTGGAATGTCCTTCCATATTTTTGTGTCATCTTCGATATTTTTCATCAGTGTTTTATAGTTTTCAGAGAACACATATTTTTCCCTCTTTGGTCAGGTTTATTCTTAGGTATCTTATTATTTTTGGTGCTATTGTAAATGGGATTGTTCCCTTGATTTCTCGTTCTGCTGCTTCATTATTGGTGTATTGAAATGCAATGGATTTTTGTATGTTGATTTTGGATCCTGTGACATTACTGAGTTCATAGATCGGTTCTAGCAGTTTCCTGGTGGAGTCTTTCAGTTTTTCTATATAGGGTATCATGTCATCTGCAAATAGTGAAAGTTTTAGTCCTTCCTTAACAATCTGGATGCCTTTTATTTCTTTTTTGTTGTCTGATTGTGGTAGTAGCTAGAATATTTTTTTCATGATAAAAATATATACTCTTCTAAACTTAAAACCACCCAGGGTTGAGCGAATGAGTGGGGTGGACTGCGAGAGCCCTGTGCTCGTGGGCTGTCACCACCAGGGCAACAAAGCGGGGGGGAGGGATGCCGCCCAATGTCCTGCAGGGCCTGGGTCCAGCCCCACAGCACAGAACAATGGCCTCACATGTCAATAGTCCCAAGCTGAGAACCCCTGACCTGAAATGCTCTAGAGTGGAATCTATCTTGAAGAGTGGAAACTTGGCCCTCAGCGGTAATCTTGGCACACCGCGTGTTGGGGAAGGGTGGGTGCTTGATTCTCGGCATGGGAATGAGTGTAGTTGGAGGAGGCCGCTTCAAGATGTCCTGAAGCAGGGCCGGTGGCAAGGGCTCTGGTGGGTGCGTGTGGATGGCTGGGAAGGGTGAGCGGGTCCTACTGTAGAGTCCAGAATCCAGGTCAAAAGAGGCCGACGCTGGTGATTTGCCCTCAGGTGGATTATGAGGCAACAGAGCCCTTGTTCAAGGCCACCTTGGAGGACACCACCCTAGAGCAAGCTGTCGGACTTCTCCAGAGGGTCAACGGCTTCTGCTGCCTGTCTGTGAAGGTCAACATGGAGGGTACACACTCCCGCACCCCGCCCACTCCATGAGGCCCCCACCTGAGACCTGAGCCCCTGGGTGTGCGAAGCCAGCCCTCTCATGCACCCCGGAACCAGACTGTGCCCTAAGTGTGCAGAGGGCCGCAGGGCAGCTGGGGATCTCCTTCCTGCCCATTGGCTCCAGCACCAGAATGGCTCCCAAGACTCTGGGGGAGGCTCCTTCCTTCTTTCCTGCTTTCACATTCCAGAACCTTCCCTGAGTGGGATCATGGCCCCGGGCTTATCTTTGATCAGGTTATAAGAAGTTGGTCCAGGACCTGGAGGCCCAAGTGGCTACCTCAGGGGATTCCTTCTACATCCGGGTGAACCTGGCCATGGAGGCACGGGCGGAGGGGGAGCTGCGGGTGCAATGCAGTGACGTTCTGCACATCAGCGACACCATGTTCCAGGGTCGCAGCTGCTGGCACGCCCACCGCTTGGGCCCCTACAGCACGAAGGGCGTCGAGCACGGCACCATCCCCAACTACGCCCGGTGAGCAGCGGTAGTGCGCTCCAACACCTCTCCAGGTTGGGCCGGGGGTGCGGCCAGGGGTGCGGCCAGGGGGGGCCTGGCTGGCTTCCTGTGAATGACCCCTCCTGCCCAAGAGGAGAGGGTGGGCATGATGAGACACCCCAAAGTGGAATCCCCAGTGTGCCACCCGCAATGTCACCACTTAGATGGGGTTTCTTTGTGGAAAGGGATGACCCTTGGTCCTAGACAATTCTAGAGCATTCAGGACCAGCGTGACATTTGGGGCTGGCTCACTCAGTCACGGGGAGCCATCCTGGGCACTGTAGGACGGTGAGCAGCATCCACCCACTGGACACCAGGAGTCCCTCTGCCCCCCAAGACAATTAAAATGTCTCAGGACATTGCCCAGTGTCTCCTGTGGGTTGGGTGACCACCATCCTGGTGTGTCCAGGACTATTTTGGTTAAAGCTGGGGAAGTCCCGTGTCCTGGGGAGCCCCTCAGTCCTGGGCCAACTGGGACCATGGGCCGCCCTCCCTGGGAGCACCATCAGCCCTGCTGAGAACTGTGTTCTAGATCAACCGTGGTAGACAAAGCAGGGTGTCTTGCCCCGAAGCCTCATCGCTCTCAGTGACGCCAGGCTGGCTGTCGAGATTCTAGAGCGTGGCCCAGACCCAGGTTCCCACGGAGTCACCTGGGTCCCAACTCAGAACAATTCCATTGGCAGTTGCAGGGGGCAGGCTGAGGCTTTGCAGTTTTCCAAAAGCCCCAGGGGACTGTAATGCCCCCCCCCCCCAGGGTGGAGACAGCTGCCTGGGGCTGCAGGGGTGGGTTCGGGCGTGCTGGGCAGGGGCCTGCTTCTTCTTTGAGTCCTCCTTGCCCCTGGGTCAGGGACGGTCTCCTTTGCACAGGGCTCAGCAGCTGCTCATCGCCCTCATCCAGGACATGGCTCAGCAAAGCACCATCGCCCGCAAGGTGAGGTGGTGAGACCTGCCAACCCGGATCCCGGACACAGGGCCCTGCTGCGGTGGGTCCTGCCTCTCTGTCCTGGCCTTCCTCCTCCTGGCTCACATCATCTGGGGTGGGTCCCGCCTGGAGGGTCCTGGCCCCATCTGGGGTGGGCTGGAAGTGGGGCAGGTGCTGGCCTGGGGGCCCAGGGGCAGGGCCCATAGGCTGCTGACCCCATGTGTGTCTCTCCCCAGTGGTCCCTCCAGGCCTTCACCTGGGCCTGCACACCACACCCAGCCTGCAAGCTCCCCTGTGTGCGCAGATACATCACATAGGCTGTCTCTGTCACCCTCCCAGGTCATCCCGTTTGCCTGTCCATCTGCACCCCATCCTAGAACCTCTGATGTCCCGACATAGAACATTCAGCTGTCCCCCAGCAGGATGTTAGGGCAGCTTCCCTGGATTGGGGCAGGTCTAGGCTGTGGGGGCCCCTAGTCTTCCCTCCTGCTTTATGCAGCCTGCCCTCACTTTGGACGCCACACTCAGGAGTGCCCTGCTCGGGGGCTCTGCCTGAGGACCCTGTCCTGCCTCCCTTCGGCTCCCACCCTCTGGCATGGGGCCTGAGCCTCCTGGCTGTTCAGTGGGCACAGCCTGGTGGTCCAGGGACCAGCTTGGATTTTGCAGTGGGCTAGGGTCCTGTCGGCTTGGACACCTGCTCGCCCCTCTTCCCTCCTCCAACAGTCATCCAGGGGACCCCAGAAGCTGGTCCGCATCGTCAGCGTGGACAGAACCAAGGCCAGCCCTCTGCGCTCATCCTTCGACGGGGCCCTGTGGGAGCCCAGCAAGCTGGAAGGTGAGGCGGGTAGCACAGGCTGAGGGGGCTCTTGACCGCCACTGTGTGACGTGTGTGGGTGTGAGGTCGCGACAGAGGTGAGCGTGGCACGCACCCCTATCAGGTCAAACCCTCATTGGAGGCAGTGGGAGTGGATTGAGCGTGAGGTGAATTGTTTGGAGTTAATTTTCTTCTTTTTGGCAAGTGTTTTGGGTGCATGATATGACTGTTGAAAACAGAAGTACAATCTAGAAGAGCAGGGACCGGGAGGGAGGGAGGCCTGGTGCTGTGGGTCCAGCGAGGGCGAGGACCCTGGGGCCTGTGGTCTTGCAGCGTGCTGGAAAGGAAGAGAACTGCTTTTCTCTACCCCCGCTGCGGGCCCGTGGAGCTGAGCCCGGAGAGACGCAGAGCCGCCTCATCAACGGGTGCAAAGAACCACCAGCCACAGGGTGTGGGACACACGTGTCCCTGGTGCAGGCTGAGCCTGTGTTACTGCCCCAAACACGCACGGTCTGTGCTGTGGCCCGAGAGGCTGGTGGACTGCCCAGCTTGGCGCCCGGCCCGCTCACACCTCCTCTCCCCCACAGAGTGCTCCACTGCGTGCTTCTGGGCTGAGAGCTGCTTCACCCTGGTGCCCTACACCCTGGTGCACCCCCACAGGCCCAGCCAGCCCCGGCCAGTGATCTTTGTGCCCAGGGTGGTAGGGAAGATCCTGAGCGAGAAGCTGTGCCTCCTCCAAGGGTTCAAGAAATGCCCAGCAGGTACGCCATCACCTGGGAGCCCCACCTGCCTGCCGGGTGGCAGGGCAAGGCCTTGGCAGAATGCTTGCCTTCGCTCGGGAGAGCAGTGTGGAGGTCACCGTGCGAGTGTCCTGGGCCGCGTGCAACAGCAGAGGTCTATTGCCCCGTGGTGATGGAGTCCAGAAGGCTGGGATCCAGGTGTCTCTGTGCTGCCCCCGCCCCCCGCCCAGAGGTTCTCAGGGGGAGTCACTCCTTTCCTCTTCTGGCTTCCAGTGGTGCTGATGGTCCTGGGGGTCCTTGGCTTGTGGCTGCGTCACTTCCGTCTCTGCCTCCTTGTCACCTGGCCTCCTCCCGTCTCTCTGTGTCTTCACACGGTCTTCTTATAAGGAACCAGTCATGGATTCAGGGTCCATCTTACTCTAGTGCGACCTCATCTTCACTAACCACATCCGCCAAGACCCTATTTCCAAATACGGTCACATTCCCAGGTTCCAGACGGTCACGTATCCTGGGGGGATGCTATTCAATCCAGTGCGGTTACTGCTGGCAGATAGGTTTGTACTCAGGTGGGACAGGACCCCCAAATGGCTCTGTCCACCTGCTCACCCCCAGAGCTGCTTGGTGGAGAGTCACGGAGAGGAGCGGGCCATCTGGAATCCTGGATCCCGGGGGACAGGGTCTGAGTGCCTGCACAGCAGGAGAGGTGGTTCCAAGGTTGGCGAGCAGGAGAGCAGCTTTGTGGGTCTTCATTCATCAGCTCGTCAATGGCTACCGGAAGCCTTGGGTTACCACCGGAGGGGGAATAGGGCTCTGTCCGGACCCCCCTGGGGTTCACAGAGGGCACAGGGGTGAGCGAGTCTGGCTCCTCTAGCAGGCACCTCCCGTATGCCAGGTTCCCGGCAGGGAGCTGGAGAGGGGCAGCCTCCTGGAGACAGACAGGCTGCTGGGCGTTGGCTCCACAAGTGGCCCAGCGAGGGAGACAGATGCTTTGGAGAAGACGGGGGGCGCAGCTGGGCTCTGACGGGCAGGCAGGAGTTGGTGGGGCCACAGGCCGGGCAAAGGTGCTGTGTGCTGCGGCCCCAGGGGCCAGAGGGGGGCCAGAGGCGCTGCAGGTGCAGCACGCCGGGGAGGAAAGGCCTCGGAGGGAGCTGTCTGTGAGCTGGAGTCCCCGTGATGGGGGCGGGGGTGGGGGGCGGTCTGACGGAGGAGAACGCGCACTCAGAACAGAGGCGATTCAGGAAGAAAAGCACAAGCGGGGTGTGTTTTGACAGGTTTATTCAGTGCAAGGGTTCTCAACCTTGGCCCTGACAGTTGGGTGGGGCTGCCTCCCCCCGTGTGGGGGCATCCTGGGAACTGCAGGACGTTGAGCAGCACCCCGGCCTCCACCCAGTAGACATAGCATGCCCCCCCCAGTGGTGACAGCCACAAATGTCTCCAGACGTCGCCAAGTGTCCCCTGGGGGTGTAGCTGCGCCCAGCTGGGAAGCGCCTATGTGTGGGCTCTAAGGCATTTCTAGGTGTGAGAAGCTGGATGTGTGCACTTGCACTTTTGGAGCTTGGGCGGGGGTGATGGGGAGGGCCTCGTTTATCTGCATCGTTGAGTGTGCAGGGCACAGACTCCTCTTGAGTGCTAAGAGCAGGGTCAGGTTTATAAAGAGGACATCCTGGGAGGCACGTCCCCCAGAACTGGTGGGGGACCATGGGCGGCACGTTCAGCATAGAGCTCCCTCAGGACCTCACAGAGTGTGATGTCCCTGTCCACTGTCACCTTCAGAGTACTTGAGCCAGGAGGAATATGATGCCTCCAGCCAGAGAGGGGACATCATCCAGGAGGGGGAGGCATCTGGTGGCCGCTACTGGGTGACCCGCCGGGCTGTCGAGTCCCTCATGGAAAAGGTAAGGGGGGGCACCTGGGTGGTTCCGTCGGTTAAGCGTCTGCCTTCGGCTCAGGTCATGATCCTGGGGTCCTGGGATTGAGCCCCACGTCGGGCTCCCTGCTCAGCGGGGAGCCTGCTCCCTCTCCCACTGCCCCTCCCCCCCAACTCACGCTCTCTGTCTCTCAGTCCTGCTCTCTCTCTCTGTCAAATAAAATCTTTAAAAAAAGAAAAGGTAAGGGGCAGGTGGGGGCTGCTCTGGGGGCTTGGGGACCATCTCCAGAGGACCTTGAGATCTGGGGGACCCTGGTCGCCAACCTGCAAGCCAGGGACCCCTGGTGCTGGTGCTCAGCTCGTCTCTGGCTCTGCGTTCAGAGGGAGGAGTGCAGAAAGATCCAGCCCCGTCTCTGCCATCTGGGATCCGTGGGACTCTGGGCCAGCCTCTTAACATCCCTGAGCCCGGTTCCTCAACACAGGAAATGCTGAATAATATTTGTTAAATAACGAGTAAATGGAGATAACACCCCATGACTTGAGGCTCACACAAATACATGAAAGGCAGCTTACGGTGAACCATGCAGTTTCATGTGGACCTAAGAGGGCCAGGCCCAGCTGTGCACCAGAGGCAGATGCCCCCTTCCCAACAGTCCGCTCGCCCCTCCCCCCCCCGCAGAGGCTGATGGAGCCTTCCGACCCCCTGGGTTCCAGCCCCTCTCAAAGGCTCCCTCAACCCCGATGGCTCTCAGTTCCTAGATTTTCCAGATGACAAACCAAAGGGACAGACTCTTGATTGTAGAACAAGTGCCCTCGGCCACCACAGAACATCCCTGGCTTCTCTTCCCACTGCCCCTCCCGGGTGTGGTCTCCCTTTGTCGTCTCCAAGGCCGAGGACCTTGACCCATCCATCTCCCACGTTCCCCTCCAGAACACCCACGCCCTCCTGGACATCCAGCTGGACAGCATCTGTGCCCTGCACAGGATGGAGATCTTCCCCATCATCATCCACATCCCCATCAACGAGAGGGCAGCAAAGAAACTCAAGTAGGTATGCCCCCGAGGGCCAGCGGTGGGGTCTACACCTGGCACCACTTGCCTCCGGGGCATGGGGCGGGGGGTGTCCAGGAACTCACCCTGCGCCAGTGCCTGGAAGCGTGGCAGGGCAGTGCCCCCACAGCTTCTGGGACAAGGGACCTGCTGCCCTCCCCCAGGCAACAGCCTGGGGGACGGTGAGGTGAGACCTGGAGCCTGCCTTGACTTGACTAAGGGCACGTGCTCACTGGGGTACACGCAGCTGACAGTCCACCCGTGCTAGGTGAGGACAGGGGCTGAAAACCATTACGTGGTTTACGGTTGGGGACAAACCCAGACATCCTGTTGCCCCCTTATAACATGTCAGCCGAGCTTGTAAACCAGAGCCCGCCCCCCCGCCCCCCGCCGTGCCAGTCATCTGGGGCCTGACTCGTGTGTCCTCTACGAGGCACTTGGGCCCCTCGAAGCGGGGGTCTGTACGCTGCCCCCTGGACTCCGAGCTGGGCTCTGCTCCGGGCAGCCAGCATGCGGCTCTCCCTAAGCGTGTCCCACCGTGTCTGGCCCGTGCAGGAAGGCCCTGCAGCGGCACGGCACATCCGAGGAGCAGCTCCTGGAGGCGGGCAGGCAGGAGGAGGCTGAGCTGGACAAGGCGCCCTGTCTATACAGCAGCCTGGCCCCCGAAGGCTGGGGTGACCTGGAAGCACTGCTCGGCTGTGTGCGCTGCGCCATCGGAGACGAGCAGAAGAAGATCGTGTGGACAGAGCAGAGCCCCCGTTGACGGCCCCGCAGTCCCCTCCAGGGCCTGTGGGGATCTCTGAGTCCCTGTGATTTGAGCTCAGAGCCTCGCGGGCACAGCCTTGGGGGTGCTCACCACATAAGCCCAGCTCTCCGAGCATCTGTTCCCCTCACTGGGGTCCAACCTTGAACTCCACTCTGTGCAGGTCACAGGTGGGCATTCGAACCATCCGCCCACCTTTCTGTGCAAGTCATCTCCCCCTCCTCCAAGGCTTGGCTGCCAGGGTCTGAACCAGAGGCCCTGAAAACACGTCTGTGGTTTGGCATCTCCTGCACCCTCCCTCCCACAGCGGAAGGCCCCAGATGTCTCCAGAAAACCAACTGTCTGACCCAATTCTTCCCTTTTGCATTTCAATGTGCCAAAGGGCTCGTTCCAAAGCCACCAAGGCAGCAGGCTGGTAGCCCTGGTGCCCCCTAAAGTCACTGCCATCCCCACCCAGAGTGAAGGCACAGACCCCCTTGTAAGGTAAGCCTGGCTAGCTTTCTCAGCTTCTGATGGCTGACACCTGCTTCAGTGACTCAAGTTTGGAAAGTCGTGTGTACAAACTGGGAAATATGGTTTCCCAACAAAGGAAACAGTATTTTCGTGGGTTTCTGCCTGGTGGCCACCATACCTGATTCAGGGACCCACGGGGGTGTCCTGGAAAAGCCTCCCACAAATACCCTTGCACACCGGCCGGGCTCCTCCTGAGCCCGAGATCTGCCCCCTCTACCGGGCAGCCCACTCAGCCCCTTCTCCAGGGCAAAGTGCCTTTCCTCCACCTCCAGAGCTCAGTAGACATGTGGGCATGGTTGGGCCCAGCCCCCAGGCCCCCTAGCACCTGGCTGTGCCCCCTACTGTGGGAGACTGAATGTCATTCCCCCGAACCCGAGTGCCTCAGGAAGTTGCTCTAGAATTCAGGCCAGCCTTCTCATAAACAAGCCAGAAAATGAACTTCTGCACATTTTACTAAAATAAAAGGCTTTTACGGTGTCCCGGACTGTGGATCTTCCTCCACGCCCCCAAGATGGTGTTGGTGGGGGAGGGCAGGGGAGAGCGGGAGCCCACCCACTCAAGGGAAAAAGCCCCCGCGTTCTGGGCTTTCCAGGGAGACCTTCTGCTTTCCCGGCAGGCGGGCACCGGGCAGGTGTGGAGCATCTGTGAGCAACATCTGTGCCACAGCCCTGGAGTCCAACCGGACAGAACTAACCCAAGCCAGAGGACGGGCTCTTCCCCCTTGGACATTCAAAAAGGACGAGCTTGCCTCTATAGACCATAGAATGAAACTCGGCACGTGGGGAGCCTGCCATGAATCAGCGGCCTAGCGGAAACCCAGCCAGGGTCAGGAACTTGACCGTGGGGCAGAGCAAAACAAGCCCCAGGCGTGTTCACAGATTTTTTCAAGACCAGAGATTGATAAAAGGCAGATACCGCGTCCCTACATAGAGTGTAGTCTGAACCCTCCCAGCACCCATGTGGTACCTGGAAGTGGGAACATCTGGGGGCTCCAAAGAATGAAAAGGATCTTAAGCTCCAGGTCCCAGCCCCTTCTCTCTGCAGGTCCCCAACCTGACCCAGGACACGAGACCCCCTTGCCCAGACCACCCTCACCTGACACGGACTGGGGGCCCCACCCTGTTCCAGGATCCCCTGGAATTCCTATGCTGAGACAGGGCTCAGACACAAGAACAGCAGCGTCCCCTACCACGGGGGGGGGAAGGACTGGGTCACACGCCCTGTTCTCCCCTCCAGGCAGTGGCAGAATGACACCAACATCGGGGAGAGCCCTTATCAGATGGGCCACGTGGGGACCCGGTCTGGGGAGGCTGCGCACGTGCCCCAGGGAGGCTCACAGCTCGTTGTGGAGTGGCCGGCACTGGGGGGAGAGCCTCTCCTCCAGGACGCCATCGGGAGCACACACCCAGGGGTCATGGGTCTCCCACTGCCACTTGGCCAGCTCGGTCTGCAGCAGTTCAAGAACCTGCGCATAGTGGGGGTTGGCAGCCAGGTTCCGGGTCTCGTGGGGGTCCTGGCTCCTGTCATACAGCTCCCAACGCTCCCGGTAGTAGTAACGGTGGAGATCCTTATACCAGCCGGTGGGGTGGCCGGCCACAGTGCGGTTCAGGAGGTCCTGGAAGGTGGGCGACACGTAGAAGTCCTGGTCGATGGGAAAGGGCATCTTGAAATTGAGGTTGTGCACGAGGTGGAAGGTCTGGTGGTGCACGGAGCGCATGGGGTAGGCCATGGTGACCTCGTGGTGACTCTGGCTGCCAAAGACGGTGCTCCAGAGGGGCTCTGCCTCCAGCACCGGCAGGAGGGACCGGCCCGTGAGCCAGACAGTCTTTGAGCCAAAGATGGCATAGCTCGGGTAAGGGATGGAGAACCAGTCCAAGATGGTGGGCGTGAGATCTGGAAAGGAGGTGGTGTCTCAGCACGGCAGCCCTCCAGCCACCAAGCCACTCTGACTCCAAGCCACTCTGGAACACTGGGGGGCCACCTCGTATACTGGATCACCAACAGGGAGGAGCCGCTGTGGGCCCCATACCTGTCAAGGTTGTCTCGGCCCTCTAGCACACAATGCCTTTAATGGTTTAACAAGAGGCCCCAACTTGGTGATATTCGGGATCCTACCAGAATCCTTTGGATCAGTAAGGAAGCCCCCACGGAGGGGGCGCAGCTATTCCTGCCCTGTGCTGTGGCCACAATGCTCCCCGACTTGTGCTTTGGGGCCAAAGGGAAATGTGGGCCCCAAGCTGCATGGGTCCTGCTGCCCTGAACCCTCAAAACAGGGGCTCCCCGGGGCCTGCAGCATCAGTATCACTTGGGAGCTTGTCACAAATGCTACTTCTCAGGCTCCACCCCAGATCTACTTCACCAGACGCTCTGGGGGTGGGGCCTGCCGGGTGGGCGTTAACAAGTGCTCCAGCTGAGGCCGCGCTCACCAGCGGGCCAGTGGGGAGGGCAACCGTCTCAAAGACCGCGAGACCCAAGCTAGAATCCTAGCTCGGTGCTTAAGAACTGTGGGACCTTGGGCAACTTACCTCTCTGATCCTCACTGCTGCATTTGTAGAATGGGGTGGTCGTCCCTTCCTTGCCCAGGTGGTGTGGGCACCACATAAGGCAGCGGGCCGCGGAGCACTGCCTGGACGTGGTGGTGCCGCTCAAGTTTCAGCTCCCCCACCCCCGCCCGTGTGAGCTGCAGAGCCGTACCTAAAAGACTCACGTAGGCCTCGCTGACTTGGCCCCAGCGTTTCATGTGCTCTGGGGACGACACCAGCAAGGGTTCAGCCGTGCCCGGCCAGTACAGGTTGGTCCTGCCGCTGGGGAAGGGGATTCCGTTGTCGGATGTGAAGATCACCAGGGTGTCATTCAGGACACCTGCTCCGCGCAGCTCCTGGAGCACGAGTCCGACCCCTGGGGGTGCAGAGGGGACAACAGAGCTCAGCCACGGCTGGGCATGCAAGCGCGGGAACACGTGTGCGCTCACACATTTCTTCATCGGGCTGCTGGACCCTGCACCCCTGCCGTCCCTCCCTCCCACCCAGCACCCCGTCCAGCAGTAAGCCAGGGAGGTCGGCCATCCCTCAGCACGTCCACGTCACCCTGTGCAGCTGCTACCTGCAGACGCTGGTTTTTGTTTTGTTTTCCAGACTCTCATGCCTGTCCCGGGGGATAACTGGGCAGTATGGGCAGTGGCTGGAAGACAGGACTCCCTCTACGCCTGTCCCCTCCCCAGGTTACCACCGGCTAATAGTGGTTCTCCCAACCGGAGAAGAGATCTTTGCAGCTGCAATCGTCAAGGATCTCAAGGAGACTGTCCCAAAGTGCCCAGGTGGACCCTAAGTCCCATGACAAGTGTCCTTATAGAAGAAACACTGAGAAGACACCCAATAGGCTGTGTGAGGACGGGGCAGAGAGGGGAGGGATGCAGCCAGGAGCCAAGGAACGCCTGGGGCCACCAGACGCTGGAAGAAACAGGAAGGACTGTGCTGTCTCCTATAGGGCCTGCAGGGGGGACACGGCCCCGCCGACACTGTGACTTCGGAGCTCTGGTCTGGGATGGGGCCCATGCTGGGGCGTACCCCACAGTCCAGGCTCCTTGAACCCACCTTGGTCCATGCGGCCGATGGTGGTGTACTGAGCAGCCAGGTCCGCTCGGGCTGCAGGAGTGTCAGGGACGAAATAAGGCACCTGGAGGGGCACGCGGGTGCAAAGTCAGGGCTAGAACACGCGGGCAGACAAGCTGGGGGGAAGGGGTGACCAGTCCTTGAATTGGGGTAGGAGATTGAGGAGCCGGCCTTCCTTCCAGAGCCTGAGATCACCCTCCACCAGTGAACGGTTGAGCCCAGAACGTCCCTGCTTCCGGACACGTCACTCCACATCTTGACGCCTCTCTTTGCCGGCCCCGTGGACGGGAACCCGGATCCACTGAGTCACAGAGTCTCCTCTTAAACGTGGGGCCAGGGCAGCCAAGTCCTCCGATTTACGAGGTGGAGGAGGAAGGGTAAGCGAACATCTCGGACACATGGTGAGGGGCTCCTACCAGCACGTCCTGTGGGTCGTAGGTCTGCGGAGTCCAGTCTGGGATCCGCCCCATGCCACTCTCCCCGTTGCCAAACTTCTCACAGAAGGTCCCGTACTGGGGCTGGGAGTGCCCACAGCGGTGGGGGTCGTGGAAGGCGACGTAGAGGAAGAAGGGCCTGCCCAGGGAGGGAGGGGCTTGAGTCCCGAGGTCAGCCGGTGGACATGCCACCTGGCTTTCTACTCTGGGGAGCCCCCTTCTTTAGGAGGGAACACCCCTCAGCGTCGCTCACTTCTCCAGAACTGAAAGTCTCCCTGGGACTCTCCGTCTCAGGTTCCCCGTGTCTCCTCTCCTTTTGAGTTTCTGGACCCTTCTCCCCCTCCCCCACTCCCCCACCTGGGGCCTCCAAGAATCCCCACTAAAGACTCTGGGATGTGCATCACAGGTTAACTGCCCAGAGGTCTGGCCGCGTGAGGGAGGGGACGGGGGCGTCCTCACACCTGTCATCCTGAGTCTGCAGGAACTTCCGGACCAGCAGCTTCATTCTGGTGATGTTCCGCCCCACCTGGAGGATGGAGCCGTTCTCCTCCGTGTACGCAAATTCAAACGGGTACACCGTCTCGGGCCCCACATGCTTCTTCCCAATGATGCCTGGAGGTGGGGACGTGGGCCTGCCAGGGTCCCGGAGCTATCCCACTGTCCCCCAAACCCCACGGCCCTGGCGTAGCCGCCATGAGATCAGCCCAGGCCCTTGTCCTCACGGACCCAGGGCCCAGGGAGAAGGCCCTGGACCTTGGGTGCTCCGAGCACGTGACACAGGCGGAGGGTGGCTCAGGACCAGGCCTCACCCCGCCGGGGCATGAGGCCACTCACCTGTGCGAATGCCGGCTTGGCCAAGCAGCCTTGGCAGACTCTGCACCTCGTTGAAGGAGGTGAAGTGGTGGACACCCTGGTGCAGGCCGTACATCCCGTTCTGATGCTGCGGCAGAGATGCCCATGAGGCGGGATCCCGCCCTGCCTGCCCCCACTCTCCCCATGGCCCTGCCTGCCCGCCCCCCGCCCCCCGGAGAGCCCGGCAGCCAGCATCCTGGGAGAGTCTCACCGCCTCTCCCAGGCCACGGGACGTCAGCAGGGAACATGGCAGACTGAGAAAATGTACCCATAATTACGGGTGGTTTTTATTTTCTTCTCGTCTACCTGTACTTCCCAACTTCTTTGTCATGAACACGTACCGTGGTGGGAAAAAGGGCAGCAAACCTCTAATTAACTGGATTTTTTACAGTGCAAAAAAACCAGTCGACACATCACAAAGTCAGACTAGAAAAAGACGTAAGGTGCGATGGGGCAGCCCTGTCCTCACTCCTGCGGCCCGTGGCTGCTGCCCAAGGAGCCTTCCGGGGGGGTGGTGGTGGGGGCACAGACCACACGTGCGCCTCGGTCTCTCGGATGGGGACACAGGGCACAGCGGCTCACCGTCAGAGGATGTCATGAGGCACAGGTCCAAATAAGTACCTGCGTCCCCACGTTCATAGCAACACTACTCATCACAATCACGGGTAGGAGCAACCTAAGTGTCCACGGAGGGATGGACGGGTGAACGAAACGGGCCATACCCATAGGATGGGTCGCTGGCCAGCCTTTTCGGCCACGAGAAGGAAGGCTGTTCTGTGCTACATTGTGTGGGGAGCTGGGGGGCACTCTGCTCAGTGCAATAAGGCAGTCAAAGGACTGCCAAAAGGACACACACTGTAGGACTCCCCTAGAATAACCAAGTTCAGAGAGACAGAGAGGTGATGAGCAGTTGCCAGGGGCCGGGGAAGGGGAGCGGGGAGCAGTGTTAACGGGCACAGCACTTCCATTTGGGAAGATGAAGTTCTGGAGGTGGACAGATGGACGCATGGCTGCACAACAGTGTGAATGGACCTGATGCCACTGAGCTGCACATTTGTGAACGATTAAAAGGGTGAGTTCTATGCTATGCACATCCTAGCAGAGCAAACACAGAGGAAGTGCTTCACAGGGCACCTCTTACCTGCACTCAAGCTCCCGGACGATATCGTAACATGAGTTAATGCTGAGCAAGTGCTTGTCGGACACCTTCCCACGTGCTTTATGTATAAACCACGAGCTAGGCCAACCCCATAACAATTCCACGAACGAGGTATTATCAAGACCCCGTTTAACAGGTAAGGAGATCGAGGTGCACAAATAGTGCTTTACTCACAGTCACACAGAGCAGTGGAGCCAGGGCTCATGGTGGGCAGGTGGTGGGGAAAAGAAGGTGAGCACATCCCAAGAGAGGTGAGGGAGGGGCTCTCCCTCTCCCGTGCCCTCCTCCTGCACCCCTGCAGCCCTCACCTGGGGCAGGCCAGTGAGCAGACTGGCCCGGCTGGGAGAGCAGCTGCTGACGGAAGTGAAGGCATTGCGGAAGACTAGGCTGCGGCGGGCCAAGGCGTCCAGGTGGGGGGTGCTGATGGCACTGTTGTTGTAGGTACCACTCTCAAAGCCTCCATCGTCCGCTGAGGAAGGCAGAGACACTGAGGCCGTGGTGGCCTGGGCCAGTGAGGTCCACGCAAGTGGGATACCCGGGTGGGCATGACCCAAGCGGGCATGACATCTGGGCGGCCTGACACCTTCCCGGGACTGATACCCAGGGGTCATGACACCCAGAGGGCATGATACTCAGGTGGCCCTGTTAGCAAGTGGGCATGACTGGGCAGTCCTGAGCTCGGCAAACGCTGCATGAGGATGCGGTTTCTGTACCTGTGTCCCCAGCAAGGAGGAGCTGATGGGAGCCCTTAGGGGAGAACTCTTTTATGCTACAATCAGTTGCAAGGCCTGGTTGGGGACCACAAAGTTAATCAGAGAGAGTGCGTCTGGTACAACGCCAAACCTCAAAAGAGGAAAAGAATAGGGTTGTCTTGTGACAGCTGGAGCCCTGGTCACCAAGTCTCTGAACAGCAAGCACTAGAAGAACTTGTGATTTCTGGGAAGGGCTGGGGTTAGGGGAGAGGGCGGGGGTGCGGAGTGAGGGGGGTGGGCTGTGCTTTTCAGCCAGAGAAGATCTGAGCCACAGGGCTCCGTGGTCTGAAAACGCAAGGGCAAACTTACAGGGTTACACCGCTGGGGAGGAGAGGAGGGCGGGGCGCCCCGGGGCACGCAGCCACGTCTCCGGGGACTTGGGCATCAGCCCCTCTTCCAGCATCCCCTCTAGGGACTGTACAACACTGCGTTCTGGAAAACAGCCCAGCTTCCCGAGCTGGGCGCCCTGGCTGATCTGGGCACGGGTGGGGGTGGGGGTCAGAGCCGGGGGCAGGACTGGGGTGCTGAAGGCTGGCCGACACGCGATGCCTGAGGCCGCCCCTGCCTCCCTCTCCAAGGAGCCGACCGCGAAGGGTCTGGGGCCGCGGGGAGCGCCGACGCGAAGGGCTGCAGGGCTCGCTGGCTGGGGCGCACTCACCGAGGATCAGCAGCACGTTCCGGGGACGCGCCGGGCGCAAGCGGCAGAGGACCAGGGCCAGCAGCAGCCCCCAGCAGGCCGGCCCTCGGCGGCGCATGGCGGCGGTTCAGCCCCGCCCCACCCCGCCCGCGGTCACGCGTGCGCTGGCCCCGCCCTCCGGTGGTCACGCGCGACCAGGTCCCGCCCCCGGGTGATCACGTGCGCTCCAGGCCCCGCCCCTCTCTCTCCTCCCTCCCGCTCCCTTTGCGGTTCCTGCGGACCCCGCTGCGGCGACACCCGGAGACCCCAACCTGCGGCACCCGGTGAGTCCGCGGCGGGCGGGGAGCGGGGCCCGCGGCCCGGGGCGGAGTGGGCGAGCTTCGGGGGACGGGCCGGGGTCGCCGGGGGTGGCGCGGGGCCCGAGGGTGCGGGCTCCTCCCGCGGGGACCCTTCCCCACTGTGTCTCCACCGCGTCCCCACCAGGTCCCCGCCGCCCTCGGCCTTGCTGGACTGATCAGCCGGCGTGGAGTCCCGTGGGTTAGACGGCAGGGTCCGGGGCAAGCGTCCTCGCGGGTGGGAGGCGGGGTGTGTCCAGAGCTGTTTAGGGGGGTGAGGGGTGGTATGCGGCTGGCTCTGCGCGCGGGGGGCGCCAGGACCCTAGAGAATGCGGCGCGTCCTGAATTAATGGCCTCGGACGCTCTCCCAGAGCCCGCTTGAGTCCCTGGGCGCTGCTGTAGGGACGGGAAAGCCACAGGTGGGGGTGGGGTAAGGCGCGGCCTCAGGGTGCGAGACCCCCAGCCGCCAGCGCCGCAGTGGGTGGAGTCCGCGGTGCTACGCACTTGGAAAGCCTGGGGCGCTCATGGCTGCAGTCCCCCCCGCCCCCGCGCACACCCCCCCAGCCGGACGAGGGTGTCCCCGTGGATCCTGCTACTCCTTGCACTGCTCCCCGCTAAATTCCTTGGGGAGGGAAAAAGAGGAAATGCAATTTTTCGGGAGGAGAGGCGTGGTGTCTCTTTAGTGTTTGATTTTCTCATTGAGAAACCATATACTGCATTTTTCCTGGCAAGTGTCGGTGGAAAGGAGGCAGCTGGGGTTGGGGCAGGTGGGGTTCAGGGAGAGCAGCGAGCAGGGGCCAGGGTGGGGGACTACACCTTTTCTTGAGGCCCCGTTCTGCACAGGTTTGGCTTCCCCCTTGGAGGGGGAGGAGACGGGTGTGCCTCTCCTGAGGGCCCTAGACCCTGCCTTATTGCTGCATTCTCCCAAGCCCCGACCCTGACTGCTGGTCTTGTGGCCCCCATGCACACTGCAGGCATGCCATCGTCTGTGAAGGCGTTGGGTCAGGCCAGGACCTCGGGTGCCAGTATGGCCCCCCAGGCCCACTGCTGCTCCCCTGCGGCCGTGCAGAGGCGGCTGCCCATCCTGGCGTGGCTGCCGGACTACTCCCTGCAGTGGCTGAAGATGGACTTCATCGCTGGACTCTCGGTTGGGCTCACAGTCATTCCCCAGGCGCTGGCCTATGCTGAGGTGGCTGGACTCCCGCCCCAGGTGAGAGGCGGCTGCCCCGGTCGCCGCCCGCACCCCAGCAGCTGCCCGGAAGCAGAGTAGGAACGTATCACATGCCCTCCACACAAGTGGTGCGCCAGAACTCCAGCCCCGCGGGGCCCCAGAAGTCTTGGTGTACCGTCCACAGCACGTGACTGCCTTGGGGCAGATGCATGCCCCCGTAACTGCTCTTGTCACACTTGTCACACGAGGCACTGAGCTAGTTCTGGGTTGTCCGAGGGGGCCAGCAGGATGACTCACCGTGGTCTCAAGGACACTTTCTTAGACTCATAGACTGAGACAAGCATCCAGGCCTTTGCATCCATGCTGGCACCCAAGTGGGGTGAGGTAGAAAAGAGGCCCCTAATCGCTGTGGGTCTGCACCATGGCTAACGGGGTGAGCGCTCTGCCCTGTGTGCGCTGCTGTGTAGTCTCAACGGCCCCCACAGATCCTGTGCTCAGACATCTCCCCTTGGGACTCTGTGGGCCCTCTGTGCGCCTCGTCGATGCTCAGTGCCGTCTCCCCCCCAGTACGGCCTCTACTCTGCCTTCATGGGATGCTTCGTGTATTTCTTCTTGGGCACCTCCCGGGATGTGACGCTGGGCCCAACGGCCATCATGTCCCTCCTGGTCTCCTTCTATGCTTTGCACGAACCCGCCTACGCTGTGCTGCTGGCCTTCTTGTCTGGCTGCATCCAGTTAGCCATGGGCTTCCTGCGCTTGGGTAAGACTGTTGGGCCTTCCTGCCGGGGGGTACCCAGGCACCTGCCTCCTGGGGATGCCCTGGCCCTCAGCTTTTCCTTTTTTTGCCTCTAAAGGGCTGTTCTTGTGCGTGTGTGAAGGTTGGGGGGGAAGGGTTCTCCTCAGCCCTCCGCTGTTCTGCTTAGAGGCCAAGACATTTGGAGAAGTGTCCAGGGCCTCAGACCCTAGCCTCCCTTTCCCGCTGTCCAAACCTGTCCATACAGGGTGTGTGTGGTCCAACAGTGCTTAGCCCCAGTCCCCCCAGACCACCTCTCCCAGCCCACATCCACCCACGTTCTCTGGGACTGGTGGTCCCAGCTCAGTATTCCCTCTTGGCTGGCCAGGCTTTCTGCTGGACTTCATCTCCTGCCCCATCATCAAGGGTTTCACCTCCGCTGCCGCCATCACCATCGGCTTCGGGCAGATCAAGGTAGGCACGCTGCTTGGCGGCCAGGCTCCTCCTGGGTCATAGGACCGAGGCTGGCTTCCCCACGTGTGGGCCAGTTCATGTCTTGCTCTTCCAGAGCTCAGAGCACAAGGTGCTCAAGTGGTCTCCATCGATTCCGGGAGCCCTTGGGGGAGATGCTGAGTGATGGTGGGACCGTACGACAGGTAACTGGGGTGACAGGTAACAGCAGCCCCACCCCTGTTGGAGCTTTGGGGCCAGCGTGCTTGGTCCACTTCATGGGGCGATTTCGTTCTGCTGCCTTCCCTCGGCCTCTTAGGTCGTCAGCATCCCGTTAACGTGTTGAAGAACGAATTACTTCTCCATGCTCGTTTTAGCTAGGTGATTTCATTTTAACATTTTTTCCCCCAATTTCTGTTCAGGATTTTTTCTTTAAGATTTCATTTATTTATTTGAGAGAGGGAACACACGTGCAAATAGGGGGAGGGGCTGTGGGAGAGAGGCAGACTCCCCGCTGAGCAGGGAGCCCGATGCGAGGCTCAATCCCAGGACCCCGGGATCATGATCTGAGCCTAAGTCAGAGGCTTAACCAACAGCCACCCAGGTCTACCTTTTACAGATGATGTTTTAAACAGAAATATAAAGAGGCAAGGACTTTGAAAAATACTGAACAGAGGGGCACCTGGGTGGCTCAGTCAGTTAAGCATCCGACTCTTGATTTCAGCTCAGGTTGTGATCTCAGGGTCCTGGGATTGAGCCCCCTGTGGGGCTCCATCCTTAGCGTGGAGTCTGCTTGAGAGTATCTGTTCCTCTCTCTTTGCCCCTCCCCCACTTGCACTTTCTCTTTCTCTGAATAAACAAGTAAATAAAACCTTTAAAAAAATCTGTAAAACGCGAAAGGTTTATGCGTTTTGCACCTGGGTGGCTCAGTCGTTAAGTGTCTGCCTTCGGCTCAGGGCATGATCTCAGGGTCCTGGGATCGAGCCCTGCGTCGGGCTCCCTGCTCGGCGGGAAGCCTGTTTCTCCCTTTCCCACTCCCCCTGCTTGTGTTCCCTCTCTTGCTGTGTCCCTCTGTCAAATAAATAAATAAAATCTTTAAAAAAAATCTGTAAAAAATATTAGAACCGATCATCATCAGTGAGCTGAGGACATCATTTATTCTTACTGAGTGTCAGGTTCCTGAAAGGCAGGTATGGTTTTGCTTGCGGCTGTGGCCGTCCAGCCCCGAGCTTTGTACAAAAGTACGTGAGTGCTCAGTTGGGTGTGCAGAACGGAGCTGAGCCAGATTGTACAGATGAAGCCCCTGGTGGCCGCCTGAGGGCCCACCCCCGTCTCAGGGCCTGCTGTCAGCACGGCGCCTCTCTAAGGCATGGTTCCCGTGGCCAGGCTCTGCTCCGGGCTGGCCCAGGAGAGCCTTCCTGAGGGAGATGGACTGAGAGTCAGGGACGGGAGGGTGTGAGCAAGAGGAAAGGAGCGGACCCTTTCTGCATTCCTACTATGTGCCAGATGCTGGGTTAAACCCTCCCTTGTCTTGGATTGTCCTGATGCTTCCGGGAGGCAGGTTCATTATTATCTGCGCGTAGAGAGGTGGGAATTCGTTAGGTGTGGGTGGGCATGGTTAGTGTATGATGCACACACGTATGTCATGGTAAGTTTGGCAAGTGCTGTTTTGTGGGAGGATCTTTTATTCTGGAAACAATGTTTTTCCTTTTTGGTGTCAGGAATGTTCTTTTATGCAATTGTAACATGTGGAAGGTGCTTCTTTATGTACTCGTGCTTGGCAGTGTTAGGTCCCCTAAATCTTTAACACCTCCATTGAGTCATGACAGCCATCTGAGAGCCCTAGGCAGGGTGGGGGTCGGGAGTGGGGGGTTCTCCTGACCTGCCCTGGCAGGAGCCCCCTGGGTCCCAGAATCCTGTGTTTCCATGCAGGTGTCTGTCCCCATTCGGGGCTGTGTGCATGGGTTTTGGAATCCTTGGTCTGGGCCTCAACCACCCTGCTAACACTCCCCACCCGGTGTCAAGCGGGATAAAGAACTAAAACACAGAGGAGAGCCCCTTCTCCCCTCCAAGGACCCTGCCTGCCTGCGCCCCTTCAACAGTTCTTCCCTGGAGGCCCTCAGAGCTCTTGGTAGTTCTGCCCACAGCTCCACCTCATTTTCCTTCTGCCAGGGGTAGTGCCCGGCAGGTGGGCCTCTGGCCAATGGCAAGGGGGGGCAGGGCCCGCATTGAGTGAGAGCAGGGTGTGTCAAGGGCAGTGGGGCCCACGGGGCAGGCAGACAGTGACCTGAACCCTTGACCAGGGCATAGCTGCTTTGAAATCACCCAGACTGATTTTCCTCACAAGGGAGAATTATTCACCAAGAGATGTCTTTGACCCCAAACATGAAACGCCTCTTCTCTCGAGGATAATTCTGCTCTCCTGCCCCTGGGGGCTTTGGGAACGGGCAGATGGTCTCCAGAGGGCCTCTGGATGTGCCCGCAAGGAAGGGGGCAGAGATGTGCTGAGATGTTGTGGGAGAAGGTTGTCTAATCCAGTCTCTGTTTGGACAGAACCTCCTGGGACTACAAGATATCCCGAGACAGTTTCTCCTGCAAGTGTATCAGACCTTCCGCAAGGTCGGAGAGACCAGGTACCTGCCTGCTGTGTGGTCCTGCTCTTCCTTCTGGAGCCCCTCTCCCAGGCCCCACCCCATTTCCCACCGCCCCCCCCCCCAGGTGGCATGTATTCCAGTCCCCTGGGGCCTGGCCACCCAAACAGGGTCCCAGAGCAGCATCACAGGGGAGCGGGTTAGAAACGCAGACCCTCAGCCCTGCCCAGCCCTGCTGCATCGGTCAGCGTTCAGCAGCAGCCCCGGGGCGTCGGTGTGCACCCTGAAGTCTGAGAAGCTCTGCCCCGGGGCCTGAGAGCCGGTCAGCGTGCCCCTGCTCACAGCCTCCGTGGGTGGTAGGAGTGGGAGGGCCGCACGCAGAGGAAGAGTAGCGGTCTCCCTGAAGGCCTGTAGTTCAGTGAGGAGAACACAGGGCACGGGGGAGGCAGGGGCAAACAATGTGCAGGGAGGGAGGATGAGAGCCTGACCGCCGCTCGTGGGGCCTCTTCAGATGAGGGGCCTCTCCCAGAGGGCAGACGCAGATGCTTCTAGAGGAGTGCAGCTGGTAGCCAGGACCTCTCCTTGCTGGGGGAACACTCTTGTTCCTGGGGGAGGGGGTGGGGGACACCGACGACCGGCTGTCTTCTCCTCTGCTTCTGATCAGCTGTGAGGCTCCCCAGGGCCCAGTCCATCCGAGCCAGGGGCTCCCTGGCCCAGGATGTGCAGCCTGGTGGGGGGGGGGTTCCTCCTCACCGCGGGGGCAGGGGAATTGGAGACTGACGGGTCAGAGGGCCTCACAGGCTGTGAGAAGTGAACCTTCTGGAACAGATGAGGTTCCAGTAGCCACAGAGCCATGTGGCTGTAAATGTGAGCCGTAGCCCTACCGCCATTGTGATCTGGGCCTTGACTCCCAGGCCTGCGTCGTCGCTGGGTGCTGAATCGAGTCTTGAAGGAGAACAGGGATGCGTGTGTCTCGGGAAGAAGCGAGCAGAGCAGTAGAGAGAGAGGCTTTCTGGCAGAAGGGGCGATGGAAGGGCAGGGGTGTCCGCCCCGGGCCGGCCTGGGTGTGACCGGTGTCTGTCCACAGGGTGGGCGATGCCGTGCTGGGGCTCGTGTGCATGGTGCTGCTGCTGGTGCTGAAGCTGATGCGGGACCACGTACCTCCCGTGCACCCCGAGATGCCCCCGGGCGTGCGGCTCAGCCACGGGCTGGTCTGGACTGCCACCACAGGTGAGTGGTGCTCTGGCCGAGGATGGGCCACAGCCATCCTGCACACCGGGGGTGCACCCCGTGAGATTCTTCTGTCGCTGGGCTGGGCGTGAGCTGGGCACCGGATATTGAAAGTTGCCAGCTGGCTCTGATGCACGGCCAGGGTGCAGAACGGCGTTTAGTAGCAGGAGTTCTCAAGCACAGGCAATTTTGACCCCTGGGGACATTTGGCAATGTCTGGAGTCGTTTCTGGTCGAGACTGCTGGGTGGGGCAGTCATGGGCACCTGGTGGGGAGAGGCCAGGGAGGCCCCCGAACGCCTGCAGTGGATAGCCGATGGCGAAGGATGATCTGGTCCAGAACGTCAACGGTGTGAGGCCAGGAAGCCCTGGCTGGTCCCCAAGGGAGAAAACACATGGATCACGTGCTTCTGTTCTAGCCGCGCAGCTCTGAGCCTGGGTTTCCCATCACACAAATGGGTAGCGGGGCCCTGGGCCTTTCCTGCACCCTAGAAGGTGGTAAACAGCTAAAATAGCTGTAGTCCTGATGACAACGTCCGTGAAAAGAGTGAGGCAGCCTTTTGAGAGCTGGGTCCGTGATGGCGCTCATATTTTGGGAAGAGATATCGCCCCCATTTAAGAAGCCAGCACAGGGGCACCTGGGGGGCTCAGTCTGTTATGCATCTGACTCTTGGTTTTGGTTCAGGTCCTGATCAGGTGGGATCAAGCTGCGTGTGGGGTTCCACACTCAGTGGGGAGTCTATTTGGGATTCTTTCTCCCTTTCCTGTCCCTCACCCCTGCCTGTTCGCTTTCTCTCAAATAAGTAAAATATTTTTTCTTTTTAAGATTTTATTTGTCAGAGAGAGCATGAGCACAAGCAGGGGCAGAGGGAGAAGCAGGCTTCTTGCAGAGAGAGCAAGGAGCCTGACACGGGACTCGATCCCAGGACTCTGGGATCATGACCTGAGCTGAGGGCAGACGCTTAACAACTGAGCCACCCAGGCGCCCCATAAATAAGATATTTAAAAAAAAAAAAAAAAAAGCCAGCACAGCTGAGGCAAGAGCCGAGAGGTGGGACCCGAGGTGACCAGTAGATGACGTGGGTAGGCCGTATGTGTCACTGTGGGCCTGTCCCGCCATCCCACATCACGTGCTCATGCCTGCCCCTCGGTCACTGGTGTGTGTGCTGCTTTCCAGGCTGCAGTGGGGGGGGGGGGGGGCGGGGGGGGGGTGTCCTGCTTCCCTGGGTGTATTTACTGCTCCAGTTACCCAGAGGAGCCAGATTTCACCAACGGGTCTCCCTTCTGTCCTAGCCCGCAACGCTCTGGTGGTGTCCTTTGCCACCCTGGTCGCATACACCTTCGAGGTGACTGGATACCAGCCTTTCGTTCTAACGGGGCAGACCGCCGAGGGGCTCCCTCCAGTCCGGATTCCGCCCTTCTCAGTGACCACGGCCAATGGGACAGTTTCCTTCACCGAGATGGTACAGGTGGGTGGAGACGGGGAGCCAGGCCTGCCGGGTGGGGCTGAGGTGGTCTCTGGGCCTGGTTCCGTGCCTCTGGTGCATCCGCTTCATAACAAGGAGCTCCGAGCCCAGCTAGGACTGCTGAGTCCTCAGGACCGAGGGCCTCTGGGTGCAGGGACAGGCACAAAAGGGTTCTGGGCCCGACCTCAAAGGACACCACGTTTAGTTTTCTGCCCGAGCCCAGGGTGCTTCTCGCGCTGTGGACACTGGCAGAGCAGGGATGTGTCCTGTGCTCTGCTCTGTGTCTGGCCCTGGGTGTGAGCTCCCGGCCCTGCAGCTGAAGCACAGCTCTGGTCAGATGCAGAAGAGCGCATGCCAGCCTTGGCGGGTCACTGCCTGGCCGGCCCCTCCTCACCTTCCCTGGAGGCCCACTTTCCCTCTCTCTTCTCTCAGGACATGGGTGCTGGGCTGGCCGTGGTGCCCCTGGTGGGTCTCCTGGAGAGCATCGCGGTGGCCAAGTCCTTCGGTAAGATGCCCGCTGTTGGGGCCTCCCAGTGGTGTCCCGGAGCTGGCCTTGCCTGTCTGCTCTCTTGCTTGCTTTTATCTGCTTAGGTTTTTAACAGCTTGAGTTTTTATCCAAGTAACGCATGCTTGTGTTTTTAACAAAAAAACATGTAGTAAAAGTGGATTTATGACAAAAACCCACATCTAGCGGTGGCTGGTAACGTGTGCCAGCCTGCTGTCCGGAAGGAGAAGGCCCTGCGTTTCGCCTTCACCTTTCCTCTGGCGTAACCGTGCCCCCCATGGGCTCCCAGTGGCTCGTGAAGTTTGATCGATCACATCTTGGGGTGAGATGCTGCGGCCTCCACCCACCAGACACGTGCAGTTAAATTACTTTGTGGGTCGTAGTGAAACGTAGTAGGCCAGGAAGAGATAAGTTTTAAGTCGGTCTTTAGTTTTGGTGTAATTTATGTTATTTAAAGCTTTCACGTAATAGGTAATAACGGCTGTGTCTAATGACAGGTTCCCAAAATTCGTAAAAATTTACCAACGCGCTCTTTTCAGCTGGCTGAGCACCCCTGGCCTGTGCTCTCCCCGCCCCCAGGGAGGCCGGGACGCAGTAATCTACTTAAGTGCCTATTTGTTCTCCCAGAACTCGGATTCCTCCGTCAGAGCTGAGGCTGCTCCATGCCTCGAGTGTCTGCTCCCTTGGGTCTGCGGGGCGTCCGGCTTCGTGTTGTGCGCGTGGATGGCATTTTCCTTTCGTTCTACAATGGTTACACTCTTGTCGCACTGGGGTACAGGTCGATTCTGAAGATGAAACCCAATAAAGGGCGTGCACGTCACCGTAACCACATAGACCGGATCTGGTTGTGGCAGCATCCTGACACCCCCCCCCCCCCCCTCCTTCCAAGGAGCCTCGTGCCTGATGCGCCTTCTGAGGGGTCATCCCTGCTAATCACCAGCGGCTGCTCCAGGTCCCACCGCACGTTCCGATCAAGTCTTCCTCGTGCAGTTTCTGTTTTTCTGATGATCTTTTTCTGGCTGGGGAGTTTTGGGGCTATTTTGGAGTCTGTGTCTTACAGCATTTATGCCTCTTGTGACTTTAAAACTGTTTTCTTCTGAAGTCACTTGATGTCCCGTCCTAACTCGTAAGCTTGTCATTCTCCGAAACCAGGGTTGGAGAACCACGGCCCGCGACCCAAGAGTAAGGAGTGGTTTTTACGTTTTAAACATTTGAAAAAATTTCCAAAGATTAGGATTTTTGCGACACACGAAAAGTGTGTGGAATTCGCGTCACAGTGTTTATATAAAGAGGTGTTCCTGGAACACGGTCTTGCTCATGTGTTTTCGGGTCCCCACGGCCGCTTCCAGCTACGTACGACAGGCGCCGAGTCGTCGCGACAGACCGTGGCCCGCAGCGCCTGCAGTGTTCCCGGCCAGCCCTTCCCAGAAACATTCACCCGCCCTGCATCCCCCCCGCAAGCTTGCCGGCCCCTCTGTCTGCACGGCCCCGGCTGGGACCTCTGGGCCTCGACATTTGTAGTCAGAGAGGGTTTAGTTTCAGACTTTCTGCCCTTCTCACGGAAGCAGCGTGTGTTTGTGGTAGGAAACGTCCAAAGCGCTGAAACATAGAAAGGAGCGAATCGCTTGTGACGTCCACCGCTACCGCAGTCACCTGCTGTTCACGTGTTGCTGTACGTCTGTCTGTTTTGTGTGACGCAGCGACACAGATGTGTATGCTTGCGTACGCACACGTGTTTTATACGTGTTCACATGTCATAGTTACGACAAGGAGACAGTGCTGTGGGTAGAGGTTTATAACCTGTGTTTTTGGTTCGTGAATATTTTCTTACTGGTGTCGTGTATCTAGTGACAGCATTTTCATCGTCCTTTCTTTTAGCTTCTCAAAACAATTACCGCATCGATGCCAACCAGGAGCTGCTGGCCATCGGTAAGCCCCCCGCGGTGGCTCTCTGAGGTCGAGAGTGCTTCTCTGCGTCTCGCCTGAGCTGCACAGGTCATAGGGATGGTCGCGGTGAGCTTCAGGGAGCAGAGGTGGCCCCCAGTTGGGCCCTTTGAAAGCCTTGTGTGGATTCATCCTTAAGCCTCCAGATGGTTCAGTGTAATCCCTAGGAGCAGGCTGCTGAGGTGTGGCGTCCATGCTGACCGACGCTTGTTGAGCGCTGGCTGTGTACCCGACCCCGAGGTCCGCAGCTTTGTGCTGTGTCAAGGAACACCCGGCGTGTCCCACCTGGGGTCAGATTGCTGAGGAACGTGGCCAGGCAGGACCTGCTGGTCGAGCGGGACCTTGACCGCCCTGGCCCCCCACCCCGGGGCCTCCCTCCAGGCCAGCAGGTGGCTCCGTGAAGACTTGGGGAGGGCCCACTGTGGATGGGTCTGTGCCCGGCGTCCCAGTTTCGTTTTGTCTGACCTCTCCGGTGATTCGTTCTGAGGACGTGACGCGAATCTTAAATTCGGTTATCGTGACTGTTGTTAATTTTGTGGACACCAGGCCTCTCTGTCTTTCCCTCCTGCCCCTGGCGAGGTGGGCACGGGTCGGAGTGGGCAGAAGCCCCGGTGCCTTCCCATTGGAGTCCACGGGAACCTCCCCCGTTACCACTTCACCTCGCAGCAGCTGTTTGGGCCCGAGCCAGTGGCTTTCCCGATAGCAGAGGGCGTGGGGCCCCAGGATGGGTCACTGGAGGTTTGGGGGGGCTCCTCTCTCAGCCCGTGGTGGCAGGCATCACCTGAGTGGCTGGTGAGGTGGAGTTAGCCGGGACTCGCTCGCCCCCAGGCGGAGGAAGTCTGTAGACTGACCTTCCCCGCACTCAGTAGTAGCAGTTCCAGATAGCATCTCCTTCCCGTTTCCGCGAATAGCGGAGGACTCCTCTGCTTCACGGCAGCGACGAGCAAGGAGCAGTCACGAAGCCGAGGTTATTGAGCTGCACATGTGGACCCCATGGGCTGCTGACCCGGGGTGTAAGAGAGGCCAGGCAGCTCTCCAGCAGGCACATAGCAAGAGGCCTCCATCGACCCTACAGAACACCACACGGGGAGGAGCCACACATCCCCGCTCCTCAAGCAGTGGGGCCCCTGACCTGAGTCTCGAGGGGCCATCATAAGGAGTCAGGATGACCACGTGTGGTCCGTGCATGGCCTCTGCCACGTCCACTGATGTCTGCTCTGCTCTCGCGGCGTGTGCTGGGCTGTGGGACCTGAGAGGGCCTGGCTCTGAGCGGGCCCCACCCTGAGCTGTCTCGAGCCGGTCTTGGACCTGTGACCCCATTGTGGTGTTTGTGAAGGTGCCAGGGTGAGCCAGATGCTGGCAGGGTTCTGTCAGGCGGGGGTGGGTCAGTGTAACGGGGGTGGACACTTACTAGCCATGACCTCCTGTCCCAGCTGGTCATCTCACGGGAAGAGTGTGGGTCTGAAGGAACTCGTGGGGTACAGCGGGTGGGCAGCTGGCTGCCAGGCAGTCTTAAGTGTCCTTAGTCCCTCCTGGGGAGGTGGGTTCCTCTCCCAGTTGCACGTGGGAAAAGGTGTATTTAGCTCACCGGGACAGGGCTGCGGCCAGAGTTAGGTCACAGTGAGGGTCGGTAAACTTGGCAGAGATCATGGTTTATTTTAACTTCCCCGAGACAGACACATGGATAGAGACGTAGGATTCTCCTGGGTGATTCCTCTGGCCTTCTATCTTCTGTTTCCTTTCTGGTTTCTGGCCTCCTTTCCCCTGCCACCCCCCATCTGTTTTAAACCCCTCTCCCTCCTGGATAAACCTTTTCCTTCCACTTTCTCCCCAGGCCTGACCAACGTGCTGGGCTCCCTCGTCTCTTCCTACCCGGTCACAGGCAGCTTTGGACGGTGAGTGACCCATGTTCTTCCTTCCCTGTGCCTCGGGGGGCAGGGGGGAGTCCCAGCCCAGGCCAGACGGTCCGTGTCCGCCTCAGAGAGCCTGCCCGGTCCTTGCACACGTCCCAATGCCACTTCGTTCTTCTCTGAGGCAGAAGCCTGTCCGTGCCAGCAGCCGCAACCCTAGATCAGTGGCGTCCGTGGGAGGCAGGAGTGGGGCTCGCTCTGCTGTCCTTCACCATGATCTCACGTGGTTTTCTCTGATAGCCCCGAGCTTTACTCCTAAAACGTTCCCAGCATGTGGCAGTGCTCCTGCATCTCGTGGCAGAGTACATTCCTAAAGGAAGTGGGGGTAGGAACCACCGCACTCTGCCTGGAGAAGCGGGGGGCGGGTCACGCACAGCCTCCACGCGCAGCCTCGTAAGGCAGCGGGGCGGGACAGAGGGTGACCTGGGACTGAGAAGAGGCGAGGGGGCATCAGCCCGCAGGGCCCAAGTCCCCAGAACTGCTGGCCCCACCCTGTCTGAGTACCAGACCTCCCCGACGCCCCCACAGCACGGCATCCGAGGGGCTACAGGGCATACTCAGTGTCCCCCCTGTAAATAGGAGTCACAGCGGGGCCCTTGTCAGAGTTATTGGAGGTTACACGGAGAGCGCGTACAGCAGTGCCAGGGGCCGCTTCGTGGAATAAAAGCTCTGTTTCCTTGATGTAACTTTTCACCTGTTTCTGCTGCATAATCAGTGTGTCAGGCTCACAGGGTCTGTGCCCCAGGTCCGGCGCGGCACCTTGTGTGTAACGGTTACTGAAAACGTCAGTGCATCTTTAAGGAAGGAGATTCTTGCCTAACTCCACAGCAGCGAAGGGTGACTCAGGCTTTCTGTGGACATGTATAGACGGACGGACGTATTTCCAGAGGACGTGCCGGCGGGCACAGGTCACGGTCAGGGTGATGGGGAGTGCGTGCGAGGCAGAATCCTCACTGTCGCAGAAATCAGGTGCCGTTCCTTTGTGGTCTTCACGGTGGCAGAGGGAAACGTGGGCCCAGGACCAGTTTTTTGGCAGAGATTCAGGTCTGAATGCAGTTTTCCAAACAGACAAAACGAAAAAGGGAAGTTGAAAAGGAAGGACAGCCACGTTCGCTTCCAGGTTTGCCCTGGCAGGAGCTCGCTGGCAGCGTCTGGTGTTTCTCTGCGTTGACGAGCGCATGCATGTGTGTGCGTGTGCATCTGCGTGTGGGAGGTGCCAGGGTCGTAAGCGGGACGTCGCCCCACTCGAAGGTGTCACCGCGTCTCCCTGGCCGTGGACACAAGGGTCATCCTTTCTAATGGCAGCGGGGAGTGGACGCGTTTGCTTGAGCTGCTGTGACACGGGCCGGGGACGGACGTTTATTTCCTCCCCCGCTGGAGGCTGGAAGTCTGCGTCTCCCCCTCACGTGCCGGTGTCCGCCGGGCCCCCATGTCCCCTCGCAGGCGCTCCCGTCCCGGGAGCGCCGCCTCCCCTGCTCTTCCAGGCTCCCACCCACAGCCACTAACAGCGTCTGTCGCCTTGCAGGACAGCTGTGAACGCTCAGTCGGGGGTGTGCACCCCAGCGGGGGGCCTGGTGACAGGTGAGCACCCCCCATTGTGCCCGGAGCACGTGCAGGGGCGGGGCCGGAGGTCACGGGCGCCCCGTTTCCCCGCAGGAGTTCTGGTGCTGCTGTCGCTGGACTACCTGACCTCGCTGTTCTACTACATCCCCAAGGCGGCGCTGGCTGCCGTCATCATCACGGCCGTGGCTCCGCTGTTCGACACCAGGATCTTCGGGACGCTCTGGCGCGTGAAGAGTACGTGCGTCCTCGCCTGTCTCCCTCTCTCTCTCTCCCTCTCTCTCTCTCTCTCTCTCTCTGCACACGTCCTGGGGTCTTACCCCGCCGCCTTCCGGGACCCAGATGGTAGGGTTGGAGCTGGGCGGTATCTTTGTTCTGGGAGGTGGTCCCGGGTCAGGGCTTCCTTCAACTCCTCTGGCTGCGAGGAGCGCCCAGGCCGGTTCCCTGCAGTGCTGAGCCAGTCTGCAGCTCACACGGTGCCCTGCTGCTCGTCCTCCTCCCCTCCCCCTCCTCTCCACCCCTTCCCCTCCCCCTCCCCTCCCTCCTCTCCACCCCTTCCCCTCCCCCTCCCCTCCCTCCTCTCCACCCCTTCCCCTCCTCCCCTCCCTCCTCTCCACCCTTCCCCCTCCTCCCCTCCCTCCTCCCTCCTCTCCACCCCTTCCCCTCCTCCCCTCCCTCCTCTCCAC